GTGCGTCCGTCTGCCGCCACTTCGAGCCTGCCAAGTTTAGCCTATGCTAGGTGTCATAGCGCCTGGTAGGTAGGCAACATCCTGTCTGCAGGGCATTCGTGTATTGCGGGGTGGCCTACCCCGAGTCTCGCAGGCGCTAAGCTTGCGTAATTTTCCAAATGATCTGAGAAACACGAATGTACTTTTAGGACGATCCCTAAAGCGGCCGATAAGAACCCACCCCAATAGGTTACACTGATATCTAATTGTTCAACCGGCAAAACGCTGCGTCTTAGAGAACTATGTACCGGGTGATTCAGAGTGGACACCCGACTGTTTCAGGTAGGTCAGATACATGCGCAAATGGCATAATAACATAAGAACTTAGTGCAACTTTCAATGCTTACAAGTATTTGCGTCCATGAAACCAACAATATATGCAACACACGCAATATAGGGTCTTTTATTTTATTTTGAAAATTAGAAAGTGACCAGCACCAGAAGTGTTGTCAGTTCTTGGCCGTTGCACCCTTGGTTGAACGCTTTGGGACGTCGGGTGCAGGTGGTGACAGGGGAAAAGGTTGCCTCCTAGGGCGACGAACCCCCCGCAGCATAAAGGCGCCGCCAGTTGCCCGTGTCTGTCGCGCAACCAACGTCAGAACCGTCATCGTGTGACGCAGGGGGAGCTCGGGAGGGCGACAGGGCCTCACAACGCACGTGTCTGGTGGGGCGGCGGCCTCGGCGGCGGCAGAGCACGTCGCCGACGGGCGCGTGCGACACAGACGGCATTCATCGGGGGGTCCCCGCCGCGCCAACAGCAGGAGGCCGAGGGGGCGGGCAGGGTCACCTGCGGCCGGCGGGGTTGTTCCGGTCCGGGGCACCTCGATAACCATCGGCGGCGAGCAGGGGACGGCGGCAGCCTCCCCTGGGCACGACACGACCGGAAGGGGCGGGCGGGGGCGGGGGAGGGGAGGGATTCAATAACAACAAACAATGGCGACCGCCCCGGGGCCCGGGGGTGGGACGGTGGGACTCACCTGTGAGCGGGCAGGGGCCAGCCGCCTGCCTCCCGCGGCTCCGCCGGCTCCGGGCCCGGGGGGCGCGGCTCCGGGTGCGGCTCCGGGTCCGGGCGCGGCTCCGGGCGGCCTGTTCAGCACGGGCCCGGACGCCACCGCTGCGCCAGCTGCGCCCTTCGCGTCGACGACAAGGCGGGGCGGGGGCTCGGGCGAGCAGCACTACGACGGCGATGTCCGCCACTCTTGTCACTCACTCGCTCGCGCTCGCTCGCTCACTCCTCCGCTTGCTCGCTCACTCACTCGCGGGCGCGCCGCGCGCGGACACAGGGGGGTGCAGCTCAGCCCAGCCCAGCCCAGCCGCCCTGCTGCCAAGGGCCCCTGCGGCGGAGCCAACGGTGCGGCCGTCCCCCTCGCCGACCATGCTGCTACTACTGTTGCGCGCTTGCGCCGAGCCTGCGCCGCGTAGCGCCGCGCACCGCGCCAAGCCCCACCGCGGCGCTACGCCCCTCCCCCTCCCCACCCGCGCCCCCGGGTGGCCTCCCCTTCCCCCGCTCATACTAGTGAGTACTACGAGGCGGGGCAGGACACGGCGGGCCTGGCGGCGGGGCCCGGCAGGCGGGGCCTCACCACTGACAACGGGCACCACTGGAGTGGTTGGTATTTTGCCGATAACCCTACCGGTTAGAAACCGGCAGTTTGCCGATAATTTGGCATTTGACCTACAATGGTTTTCTCATTAAAACCCACCTTGAAAGGCCATCCATGCTTCACTCCCGGCCCGCGTGAACGGAGTCGCGCTGTTTCTGGAGCAAGAGGGGAGCCGTCGGCAGCAGTCTCGGCAGCTGGGGCGAATAGACGTCCGCCGTCACATCACCCGTTTGACAGTTGATTCAAACTTTTTGCACTCCCATTTCGCCCTTTTCCCGGCCAGTCCCCGCGTTAACTTTGTGGACTGTCCTCGCCCGGGCCCCCCGCTCCTCGTGTGTCTATACTTTTAACGAGACAAGCGTGGGAAGTTTTAGCAACCCAAAAATGTGGGGCATCCTCCCCCGTCCCCATTTACCCCCTCTCTTCCCTCCGTGCCGTCTGCTTTCCCCTCGCCTGAAAACCGACTTTCATGAAGTGGGGGACGGGATTTGCACTCTGCAAACTTTTAAACTACTTGCGTTTGCACTCGCGATGACCCCCTCCAACACAAACACGACTGCGCGAGTGTGGGGCCCTCTACTCCTCCCCGCCACGCCGCGCCACGCCGGGCGCCGCCACGCGTCCGGCCCTATATATCCTTATATATATGCGGTGGCGCGGGGCAGCGGTTCCCCTCCGACGACCGCGACGCAAATCGACAAAATTTGACGCCATTCCTGACGTCACGCACCCGCTGCGGCCCCGGCGCCGCCCGCCGCGGCATCGTGACGTCAAACCGTTCGATTCCACTCGATTCGGTTCGATTCCGATGGCAGGCGAAGGGCCGGGTGTTGTTCCTATGCCGCAGGTGCGCAGCGTGCGGGGACGCCTCCGAGGGCACCATGACGTACACCAGACCAGGTGGCGGCGGCCGATCCACATCGGGCACTACTTGACGTCCGTCCGCGCGCACGGGGTGAACGCGAGGGCGGCACGGCGTTGTCGTCCTCCCCCATGGGGTGGACGTGGGGACGGCACGTTGTTGTCGTCCTCCCCGATGGGGTGGACACGGGAGCGCCACGCCGTAGTTAACCTCCCCGACGGAGAGGACGCGGGGGCGGCACGTTGTTGTCGTCCTCCCTCCCGCACGCGACTACGCGGCCAAGACGCCGCCGTGCGTCTATATAGGCAACATAGGCGCACGCTCACGTTGCACGTACAGCGCGACGACCTCACAGAATACGTCGCATTTGGAGAGGTAGATGAGCAGCAAGGCGGAGCAGGAACGACATTATTGGCGCCCGGGTGACAAAGGACGTTCATGTTACCCATTGCCGACGCGCGGTTTTCCTCTGGCGGCAGGGCGGGGACGTGAGGGTGCGCAAGAGGGTCTTACGACCCGCGCCACTCACGTGCAGGAGGGGGGGCAGGAGGGAGGGGATGCTGTCCTCAAGGTGCCGCGCCACGCCATGCCGCCGGAGGTAACGGGGAGGTCGTATTTTATGGAAGTGCGCTGGCTTGTCAGTCGCACCCTCCCCTCTCTCGCTCTCTCTCTCCCTCCCTCTCGCGTGACGTCCGGGGCAGAATGGGGCGCGAATGGGTCAGAGGGGTATAGTGTGGCGGCGGCCCCAGCCCGGAGCACACGGGCCGCCGGCCCCGCGCCCGCTCCACAGGTGGAGTATTCCGGTGGGCCGAAGGAACGAAAATAACCAAAGCGACCAAAAAGGAGCCGGCAGCTCGGCCAAAGCCAAAGGACTGGGGGCACGGGCGGGGCGGGCACGACACGTGCAGAACCCACGGCCCGAAGCGGGCCTCGCCTACATTCGATCCTGCCCCGTCCAATCGAGCTCCACATAAGACAAAGAGCGGGTAGCGCCAGCAGACCCTATGCCCCTCGTCCTCCTGGATGGCAACGAGGAAATTGCTGCATTGCGTGTCGGTGGGGTACTACGCCCTTGCTTCGCTCGAGCGCAGTTGTCCGATGAGGTCCGAAGGATCCGAAGGATCCAAAGGGACCGAAGCGACGCTGACGCTGCGCCCTTGCGTATCGTAGCGGGTGTATCGGGGTGAACGCTGCAGTGTTGCGGGTTTGCCTACCCCTACTGTCTCCACCAGAGAGGCGCCATGGCGCTGGCGGCCCAAGAGGGTATGCAATCCCACAACTTTGCAGCGCCCATTCTGTTACACCCGGTACAGACTTTCCTTCATGCACCAGTCCAACCGAGTCGAGCCCCAGGCCGAAGTGCGACCGTGGCGTATCGACGCGGCTGCAGGGTCTCGGCTGCTTGGGGTAGAGCGGCCGCAGCGACTTGCAGCGAGCAAAACCCCCATCTCCCGTTCGCTTTCAGAATTCCCCTCGCGGGTACCTGCCAGGCCAAAGCAACCTCTGAAGCATCGTCGCCATATCCTGTCGCAGCCGCACCGCGCACTGGCGCCGAGATGTTGACAGCGTCTTCCGTCTTCCCTCGGAGCCGCGGGGAAGACCATCCCTACCCCTCTGAAGGACTCGGTGACTGGTTTGTTTGCTCTGATCACAGAAGTGTGCACCCGTCAGCAACAACTTACAGGCGGCCGGCGGCACAGGAAACTTGAACCCACAGGGTCGTTTAAAGGAGATGCAAATATCAATAATTTAAGTACAACAGTATTTATTTCACTTACGCTATTCTTTTTCCACATAACAGTCACAATACTTTCTCCCCTTTCATTTATTATTAGAATTTTCATTCAGCTCATCTAGGAAATAGGTGCACTTCTTCTTTAATACCTTGAGAGCCTCTATGAAGAGAACATCAGGGGGAAGTGCACCCACTGATTCAATAGTAACTAAAATGAAAATATTTCATGAAATTAATTAGATACAAACTTCCAGAAATGCACAAGAGAAAATAGCAGTACTTACAGATGTAGTGGTCTTTCACTCTAGCCATTTTCACAGAATCTTTCAGATCATCATAGCGGAAAACATTTCGACTGCAGGAATCATATCGAGCATCTTTCACTTTGGCCTTTTTCCTTCCTAATAATAATACAGAGACAAAAGCTTATACAGAAATCATAGTTTGGTTTAGTATGTATAAGAGGAACTGGTTTTACTGACCATGTCCATTATCTTCCACATCAATTACACCTGGAGAAAAACATTTTTGCAAACGCTCTGCCATTTCTCCCTCTACATCTTTGGTCAAAGTTATTTCTGGTAGGAGACGATACGAAGCAGTAGCTGAACAAAACCAACACACATATTGATAGTTCAAAATTTCTTTGCAATAGGTAGTTAATAATTATCCACTGCAAAAACTCATAAAATTTCCAACTGCTCACCAACTGGGGAAAATTTAGCATGGTCTTTGCCCAAACCTTTGACAGCAAGCAATCTTAGGTCCATCTCATGACCTGGCCTCATTTTATTGATCAGAATGTCTTCAAAAACAGGACCAACCTGATCTGGTTTAAAAATGTCAGCTTGACCGCCAATAGGCATCCATTTTAAATGTTTAGAATAAACTGCAAGGTGAAAAGAACGGTCAAGAAACGATTTATCATGAAAAATTAACAGGTTTTCATTTGAAAAATTCTGAACAATACCGTTGTGATTCCTGTAAAGATCATCGGGGTGGGTGGCATCTTTGTGAGAACTGCTATTCCATTTACATTTTATTTTCAATTCAAACTCAAGGGTATCTTGTTCAGTTGGATCTGCTGTTGGATCAGCTTTATATTCAAACATTCGCGGATCAGCTCGCAATGGGATTAAACCTAATCTGTGAGCTAAAACTTCATCCTGAATCAATGAAGTATTATTGAAAATTTTTACCTTCTCAATTGCCATACTAGGAACCTAGAAATCAGGAAACAAAACAAATGTGACTTGGAACAATTCTGGAGAAAAAAATAAGATAATTACCAATGACAATGAAAACAACTAAATTTATACAAGCAATTTCAGATGATTTTGACACCTTACCTCTGACAGTAAGACACGTCTGAAGGCATTCGCTATAGCAGCATGAACTCCTATTAAGTCAAATTCCATCTCTGTCTTGTTGTAACGAACAATTTCTATTGAGAATTTCTGAAAAGATTACGAGACTTGTTTATAATTGCGAAACGAAAGCACATCACAGTTGAAAACAGAGGAGTTCACAAAAGCCCAAACCTTTTCGAACTTGCTGTGGCTCCATGGTTCCTCACAGTTAAAACCACCAGGATAATCAGTCGCATTTACCTAACATTTCAAAACAGAAACAAAATGTAAGATATGACAAGAAGATTGTTGTTAAAAACATAGGCATGATTTAGGTTCTGTTAAGTCTTTTGAATATAGAAAGAGGGAAATGTACACAAAGTAGGGAAGCAAAACATAACATTGACTCACATTAGCAACGCCGTATTCGTTGAGAATGAACCTCGACTTAGACTCTTCTAAATTATCCATTTTCCCGTTCAAATTCGGCGACGAGTTATGTTTTCAAGCTACACGTGTGTTGTGGTTGTGTTAGCGGTGAATAACCAATTTTCCATATTCTGAGGAGTCTTGTGGGGCAGGGGCATGGGGCCGTACTGCAGGAAAGCCGTATGACGTCACTAAGGAGGTTGGAGGGAAGGGAAGGGGAAGAGGGGGTAGGGGTAGTACGAGACGAGGGGGTATGAGGGTAAACAAACAGCCAAACCAACGACAGCGGTGGGTGCGGTGTGCGGTGAAAGTGAAAGTTTCCTGCTCACTTCACAGCTGTCCTGTCCAGCCTCAACTGCTGTGAGCTGCCCATTCGACTCTCGTTTGAGAAAGTTGGGTGCAAGGAGTTGTGTTGCCATCTTTGGATTTCGTGCATCTCTTGAAGTGATCTGTGTTCTTCATCGTACTTAAACCTGCTCCAACATGGTTCTCTTCCTTATCTTGGAGTTCTTAAAGAAGATAGTGGCCGAGATCAGGTACCAGATCGTGTACTACGCCCTCGGCTCAACAGCACAGCTTGAAGATTTCATTTACGCCAAAGACAACAGGGTTGGTGAGTAAAGTTGCATCATCTCCTCCTATGTAAAGTTCATCCCTCTTACTCATGGCCTATCCGCCTGTTTTGAAAAGTTTTATAACGTCCCATCTATGGCCTATACTACAACTTTTGAAATATTGAAGATGATGCTTTATTTTTAGATATCATTGACAAGACGGGCCAAATTGCTGTTGTTACTGGTGGATCTCGAGGAATAGGTTTGCACGTAGTTCGGATGCTACTGCAGTGCAACATGCATGTGATTATAGGTATTTATTGTTTTCAATGATAATTAATCTATCTATCTATCTATGATTACGCTGATTACGCCTTTTGGTTTTCTTATAGGATGCCGCAACACAGAGGCAGGTGAAACTGCTATTGCAAGCTTGCGAGCTGCAGGTATCACTAAAGGTACTGCAGAATGCTTCAAACTTGACACTGGATCATTGACCTCTGTACGAACATTCGCCAGGAAGGTTGTGTCTGCGCATCCAAAAATCAACATCCTCGTGAACAATGGTATGTCAGCTTATATCCTCTTTCTCACTTGCTTAATCTATTAAGTCTTTCTCATAAATAACCATTCAGATTTACCCATCTTTTAAATACTCAGTCAATTTAAAATCTCCTCTTTTCAGCTGGCATTATGTTTGTGCCATTTTCTCTGACAGAAGATGGAATTGAATCACAACAAGCTGTGAATTATATTGGTCACTTTGTCCTGACTCAAGAGTTGTTGCCATCTCTTGAGACTGCAGGGCGTCAAAGTTCTAATGGAACAAAGTCTCGTATTGTAAATGTTTCTTCTTGTGCATATGCAGCAGGAACCATTAATTACTCAGATTTCAATAACAAGTATGTTAAACTGGTCTTCTTAAAAACTGGAGTCATTGTTTTTATCTTTCATTGAAATTATTTCTTGTAATACCTGTGGCCATCTTATTTTTCAGAAGTGGCTACATTGCCAGTGCTGCATACGCCCAATCCAAATTGGCTCAGCTTATATCATCAGTACACATGTCACGCTTGTTCACTGAAAATAATATTCCTGTAAATGTATATGCAGTTCATCCTGGTATAGTGAACACAGAACTCTTTGATGGAACAGCTTTCAAAAAATTTTTGCCCTGGGTTCCAAAGCTGCTGTTTAAGGTATAACCCACATCAAGCTCATTACTTGTCAGTTCTTTATAAATTTCACCATTGCTTTGCCTTGTTTCAGTCTCCTGAGAATGGTGCTATGCCTATAGTACATGCAGCAATTTCACCCGCTATTGAGAACCGATCAGGGATCTACATAAGCAACTGCCGAGAAACACCAATCAAGAAATATATCTTGAACCCATCAGAAGGTTACAAGTTACACAAATTTACATTTGATCTCATTAAAAGCATAAGCCCCAAGAAAATATCTTCTTAAACATTTATTGTGAATACTCATCTTCTTTTTTGTATATTTTATTTAGATGACATTTTAATTTTAACTTGCCTTCCATTTTTTGAGCAGGCCTGATACGACTTGTTTATCTCACTTGTTAAGACTGGAATTATGAAAAGACTTAAGCACCCCTGATATATAATTTCTAAGCAATCTATTTTTTTAAATTATTTTTTTTAAAAATAACACATGTATATATGTACAATGCATTGATGAAAGCACGCATGCTAGATGTATTTCTTGAATAAAAGATACCTTCTGTAGTTGGTTTAAGATCTTTTTTTTTAATGTAGTACTGTCTTGATTTCCATTTCAATGTGGCCACCATTATGAACAATGAGAAAATAAACCAATTCTTAAAATCACACAAACAAAAACATTTTCCAGGTAAAAATCAAATGACGCCAAGCCTTAAACCAAATACAGTACATAGAAATTTACATTCAGCTACATGACAGGTTAAATGAGAAATGATTATTATAAAACTGGTAGGCACAATTGCTTATGAGGGAGTACAGACTACTTTGAAAAAGAGGGTGGGGTTGGGCTACATCACAGGAAATAACTGATCTACAATCATCGCACCTCGTGGATTTCAACAAGAACACATAGCCACACACACACAATAAATATTAATGATCACAATGGAAACTTGAACAAATTTTCCCTGCATGTTCTGCTTAAGTTCAACACAAATTTCTCCTTATATCTAGATCAGTATCAAAAGAACAGAGAATACACAGAGCTCAAATCCCACAATACTAGCTCTCCAGTGTTTCAGTCATTTTCAAAATGAAATTGGTCTTATGGAGAAGGTTTATTCAATCAATTTCTTTGCCTTAAAGAATCGTCTAAGGTACAAAACTTGCCAAGTTGCCAGACCTAATAAGCAGCACATACTGAATACGCTAAAGTAAAGGACACGACTGTTTGTTGATTCTGTAGATAGAAAATGGAGAAGAAAAATTAGCAATAATACAAAAAAAATTCAATCATGAGGAAAATCCAAGAACTAATAGCTACCATTCGTATCTCTCATTTCTTCCTCACGTTTACGCATGAGAGAGAAATCCTGAACAATGGACTCTGACATATCTTCTAATCTCTTCAGTTCCACTTCCATGGGCTTCAGCTTTGCAGCCTCCCCAAGCTGGAATAATAGACAAACAGTTAGAATTGTTTTATTATAAAATGTGCAATGCACACTACACACATTCAAACAACCTGTAAACTTCAGTATTGATTTCTATGGATAGTTAAAAGTAGGTAAATGCTATGAAAAAAAGTAAAATGTGTTCTAAACTCTACGCAAATTAAGCAACATCCATTTAAATGAAAGGAGAGGAATACTTTGGGATCTTGGGATCAGAGGAAGACAATTCAATCTGTTGGTCTGAGACTAGACAGAAATATTTAGGGGTCAAGAATAAATATCTCTGAGGATTAATATTGAACAGTCATCTAGGTGCAGGTGAGAATTCCTTAAATGTTAATATTAATATATTGTCAGTAGGAAAAGGCTCAGTTATCAGAAATGTTAGAATTCAGGACTGATGATTCTCCTACTGCAATATTGTGGGGAAATCATTAAAACCACTCTACAAACAATGTTATGTTAAGCTGATGCTCTGCGATACACCAAGTGCTTCACTAGTCCACAGCACAAAAGACATGAGTTATTTACTTTACCAGCTTCATCGGCACCGATCAGAAATCACCACACCATCAGAAAGAGAAGTATGTTAGATTATAGAAATGGGGGGAAAAATAGAAAGACAACTTTCTGAAGGTTTGAAATTGAATTCACCGAAAGAAAAATAGATGTTCATAAACATTTAAAAAAGAGAATGATTGGTCACTGGACAACAATTGTGCCGTCAGTTATCCCCCCCCCCTCCCCCCAACTTAAATTTATCATAACTTAGTGGGCTTACACTGCAAATACCTCAACAATGACGGAAATGTTAAAAAAATACTTACAGCTTCATAACTCTTTGCCTCGATTCCATGCTTTGTGACAAGGGATACTTCCTGGCGGATACCATGCTGATCTATAGATTCAACAAACACAACACAATTTCGTCATTTTCTATTTCCTTTGGGCTGAAGTATAGAAGTCTTAGAGGAAGTAAAAACGGTGAACTTTCAATAAGAACCATCATCAAAATAATCATCATATTTTCCTCTCTGACATTGAAAGAACGGCAAACAGGATAAATGGAGTGAAATATTAAATGGTCTGTGAACATTAATATTACTTACGGGGAGGGACATAAGATGCAAAACAAACTTCGAAGATATCATATGTTTCAGTAACAAATGTAAACCTGGCTTTGGATATGTCTTCCTTCTGATATAAAATGTGGCCCTTTGAGTCCCGTACCTAAATAAATAATGAGGCAAGAAAAAGGAAAAGATATATTAATTTTATAAACAAGTAATAACGGAATATAAATCTCACAGATTATTTTTTTGTAAACATACAATGCAATTCACTTTCTGGCCGGGAGCTGGAGATACTTCATAATCCCCGGTTACGAGCACATTTTGCTGTAACTCCTCCTTCAAACATTTTTGTGTGTTCGGTTCGAGAAACCACATAATTCCCTCTGCCTTCCATGGCAATCCAATAAATAGCAATGCGAACACGTACGACAAATTGTTCATTTTGATAGACGTTTCTAAACCTTCAACCGTCAGAGTTTATGTCAATGTGGCAGCCATACTCTAAAATGTCCGATCGTCTGCTGTTCACCACGTCGGGCACTGCCTTTGATAGCAGACGACATCCACTTACCACTTACCCGCGATAGGACTCAAAAAACAGATATCATGGCGGAGATGGAACCCGTAAACCGTAGAAATTTAGAGGAAATTGAAGCTGAAAGATTTAGGGATGAGGATCGTCGTACTGCATCGAGTATTGAACAAGTTAGTATTTTTTCTCGTCGAACTAATGCATTGGATTCGTGTTTGCGATCTAAGAGCTCCCCTACGATAGCCTTACATGGGTATTTTAAGGTTATGGGGCTTCTTCCCATTCATAATCAGATGTTGTTTTTGTGGTGTTGTTATCCCGAATCAAGAAAATCATCCCCCTAATACCTTTTCCCAATTGTCAGTCATTTGTGTCATTCAGTTTGCGTCAAAGAGATGTGATTCTTTGTCTTAGGAAGAAGTTGAGAAGACAGTTTTAAGTCGATTTGAATTGTTTGACAAGAGAGCTGAAGTTGATATTGATTGCCCACTCCTATTACGACAAAAGCATGCAGCCTTCATTAAAGGGAGTCTCCTTCACCTCCACGAATCTTACCAGGTACTTTGAACCACTACAATTAATTTCCTTTTCTCTTTTAAGTATCATCACTATGTCATCATCATCAATAAAAAATTTGTTTTTGCTAAATTTCTTTTCTAGTGCCTGGATAGCAGCAGACCATGGTTGGTGTATTGGTCGCTTCATTCTCTAGCTCTCTTAGAAGAACACATAGAACCGGAAGAATGTTCTAAAATTGTGGGATTTCTTGCCAAGTAAGGAAATTATAATAGTCAGTATAACTAAACCTTCATCTATTAACATTTGCTATGCTCCGAAATTTTTTGATCTGCCACTTTTGAATTCTGTCAAAGCTATTCAAGGTGATACTTATCTATTAATAAGTTTTGCATGATTTGACCGTGACCTGATTTCTTGTTAGGTGTCAGTCTCCTAATGGAGGCTTTGGAGGTGGTCCTGGTCAACTTCCTCATCTAGCTTGTACATATGCAGCAGTAAATGCTCTTTGTACCATTGGGACAAATGAGGCTTTTGGTGTCATAAACAGGTACGTACAGTACTTATATTGACAAATCTAATTTTTTAGTACTATTCTTATTACACTTAGTAACATCTGTTTACTTTTACATCATTTGTTGCATAGAGAAAAACTTCTCGAATTCCTATGGTCACTTAGACAGCCTGACGGGTCATTTTTTATGCATGAAAACGGTGAAGTAGATGTTAGGGGTGCATATTGTGCCCTCTCCGTTTCCAAACTTACCAATATATTTACCCCAGAGTTGTTTGAAGGAAGTGCAGAATGGATTGTTGGGTAAGTATTTATTGTGTTGCTGCAGTAAGCTATGAGGTGATGAACCAAAAACACTGACTTTTTCCATTCCTATCAGGTGTCAATCCTATGAGGGAGGGTTTTCGGCTTGTCCAGGAATGGAGGCCCATGGTGGTTACTCATTTTGTGGCCTTGCTGCCCTTTTCATGCTTGGAAAGGAACACTTGTGTGACATGAAAGCATTTATGGTGAAAAAATTATTGTCAATCACATCTCATCTCATGTTAATTTTATTCTAATCTAAGGACTAATTTTCCTTTTTTACTTCTTTTGTCTTTCAGCGATGGATTACAAACCGACAAATGAGATTGGAAGGTGGCTTTCAGGGTAGAACTAACAAGCTTGTTGATGCTTGTTATTCATTTTGGCAAGGAGGAGCATTTTTATTTCTTCACAATATTTTATTTAAAGAAAGTAAGCTACTTGATGATTATTTACAGGGGTACTACAAATTGTTCTGAGGGAAAGTAATTGTACTTTTGTAATTGTTTCAGATAAAAGTATTGTTAATTCAGATAGGTGGTTATTCAATCAGGAAGCTCTTCAAGAATACATTCTTATGTGCTGTCAACAATCTTCTGGAGGACTTATTGATAAACCTGGAAAGTGAGTTTCTCATCTTGCTGAATCTTTCTTTTTGAAAGAAAATAGTTTTCCACTTAAACTTTTGGTGTACTTTTCTTTTCTTTTTTATTCAGACCTAGAGATCTATATCACACATGTTACGCATTGAGTGGCCTATCCATTGCTCAACACACTTCTTTGGTTAAAAAATATGTTGTTGGATCAAAAATCAATCTTCTTGTAAGTATATGATGTGCATAGATGTTCCTCTTCAAATGAAATTTTACCAGCAGAGATTTCCTATAGAATTAATCTTGTTTCAGGCACCAATTCATCCTATGTTCAACATAACATTTGATTCAGCTGTGAAAACGATGAAATATTTTGAAAATTTACCTGTACCTCAGATTGGCATCCCCTGATTTAAAGAAAAAATTGTTGGTGAATATGATTCTTCCAGGGTATTTGTTTGTGCCATAACAGCTATAGGCAAATCAATTTTGGCAGCAGCACCCATCCAATCTTGTGATATTTTACTCTTACCACTCAATGATAAAAAGACTGTGCATCAAAATTGTACTCAGAGCAAGGTTCGAGTATGTGCTTAATTGTAGTGCTACATTGAAGATTTGAAGGGTTTGAGAAGCCAGTAATTTTTCTGAGCACATTGACGTATTCTTTTTATCCATAATGCACTCAGTATAATCTTCATCAATCGTCATACAGATGTTAATTATAGAGTTGAAGATGTTTTCCCTCATTTGGGGTTTTATGTCCTTAGACAATACTGTTTGGAGAATTCAGGAGACTGCCAGTTGGTTGACATAGAGGCCTGTATTATGTGTCTTCTTGTTATAGTCTTTATGAATTTGATAGACATATGAAACAATTTAAAAAAATGTAGAAGTTTGTTGAATGTGTGCAGTGCTTAGACTTGCCATTGTATTGTATTTTGTGAGTAGCTTCTTGTATTTCAACTTCTATATTTTTTATTTTATAACTTGTACCACTTTCTTTTTATGAAATGTTTAGTTTAATGCTGTTAATGACAACAAAATGTCGCCTACCAAACATTAATTTTTACTCTGAGTGTTTGTTTGCTTCTTGTATTGTGTGTATTGTTTTCTAATATCTCCCTTTTTCCCTTTCTTGTTTTTGTTTTGAATCAGAGTCTTGTCCCCTGGTATTTTGTATTATTATCATTATTCGATTTGAAAGGACCGCATGTTAGTCATTTCACTCATTACTGCCTGCGTCGCTGTACTTTAATTTATGTACAAGAACTGAACAATAAGACCATCCTGCATCTACTTATTGCATCGGCTCATTTGTGATGGACCCTAAAAGAGGACCCTAGTCATCGCTTTCACACGTCTACACCAATGTGGAGGTGGAGAGGCGGCCCTCCGTGCCCCGCGCTGCCACACCTTCCTTCCAGACCTCAAGCAATTGGGTGTGCCCGTGCATTAATTGCCTGTCAATTGAGTCGGCTGGCGATCCTCGCGATGCCTGTGTGCACTCGGCCCCCCGGTGCCCCCCCGGTGCCGACCAATATACCACATGGCCGCCGATGGCTGCTAAAGAGAGACAGAGCGAGCGAGGGAGACAGAAGAGGAGGTGTCGTGGCGTGTAGTGATAATGCCGGCGGCTCGCTTCGCGGAGCCTCGCGGGGGAGGGGATAGGAGAGTACTTGCACACAGCTGGCTGACAGCTGAGGGTCTGTTTCCCTCTCCTCCTCCTCTCCCCAGTCTGACTTGAGTGCGCGCCTCGGCAACAGACCACCCGACCTTCCTCCACCCGTTCAAGGTAAAGGACGCCGCAGCCGTACAAGCCGCTGCACCTGACTCCTCTGAACCCCGCCGTCGCGCCGGGCGCCGGGCCGGGCGCCCCGGAGAAGTGCCGCACGCGACGGTTCTGCGACGCGCGTGCGTGTTTTGTTTGAAGATGCTGTCGTGTCGTTTCTCTGGTCGTGGCGAAAAGTTTTCTCTCCCGCAACGGCGGCCCCGCCCGTTGGGCCTCCCTTCAGGGGGTGCAGGTCAGTCAGGGCAGGCTGGGCCGACAAGTGCTGGACCCGCGAGAGCGCTGCCGGCGCTGCGCAGTGTGGTGCGCACCGGGGGGGCGCCGCGTCGCGGCCGCGACACGCTGGCCGCTGGCGCATCCGCGCCGCGCCGCGCCGCGCCGCACTCACATGGGGCCGGCCACACGGCGACTCGTGGCGGCGGCCAGTCGCGCCGCCTGCCTCTGCCTATACCAGCCAGCAGCGCCCGTGTTATTTGTAGGATATTGCCGGCTGTGAGGGAGGAGGTGACATACGGGATTCGTTTCGAAGGTTTTTGACGGTTCCTGCGGCGAAAGTTACTTAAAAGCGCTGGGCTGGGGGTTGCCCCCCCCCCCTTCTCTCTTCGCCCGTGTACGCCGCGGGGTCGTATCACCAGGATCGCGCCGTGTCGCCGGTTTGGCTTGAGTCCCGCGCGGCCCGCACCGCACGGCTTCTGCGACCGACAATGTTGCCGAAGACAAATGTTGCAATAATTAGCACCCGAGCGCCTGCCCGGCCGGCCCGGCCGCGCCCGCAGGGCCCGCAGACGGCACCCAAGGGGGCCTAGCGAGCTGCAACTCAGGGATCGCCCATAAAGTATGTCACATTTTCTCCGATTCATTTATCGGCAAATTATCGAGGGCTCGGCGCCTGCGAGGCTCGGGGTAGGCCACCGCGCACTACACACGCGCATTGTTGGCGAGATGTTGCCTACCCATCAGGCGCTATGGGGCTGGCCGAGCCAAGGGTGGACTTGACAGATTCGTAACGGCGAATGGCGGACACTCTTTCTGGTTAATCCCTCCCTGGGCTGGGCAACTCTGCCGGTGGGTGGTGGGTAGCGGGCCGTCTGACAGGCAGAGGCCGCGAGGACCGATACAGGAGAGGAGACACGTGCTGGTTGTCAGCACTGTGAGTTCTGTCAGTCAGTACTGGGTGCCGCCGGGTTCCACCCAATGTTGGTCAGTCGTCCACATTCCACATAACGTTTGTCACGTTGCAGATGCCCACCGCCACAGAGACCGCCGCCAAGCCTGCTCCCGCCAAGTCGGCTCCCAAAAAGCCGGCGTCCGACGCCGAGAAAAAGCCCGCAGCCGAAAAGAAACCTGCGACTGACAAGAAACCCGCAACTGAAAAGAAACCTGCAACTGACAAGAAACCCGCAACTGACAAGAAGCCCGCGGCCGACAAGAAGCCTGCCGCTGAAAATAAGCCCGCCGGCGCCACCGAGAAAAAGCCTGCAGCTGACAAGAAGCCTGCCGCTGACAAGAAGCCTGCTGCTCCCGCCGCGGAGAAGAAGGCTGCCGCGCCAGCCAAGAAGGTCGTCGTGGAGGTGGACGAAGAGCCCGCTGCACCCGTTTACGTGCCCAAGCTGCCCGTCACCCTCCCCGTGCTCAACACGCTCGAGTGGGCGAGCTGCGCCAAGGTGCTGGAGAACCTCATCAACTTCACACCGTCCCTGGGCTCCGCCCTCGCACAGCTGCGGCCCTACAAGAGCGCCCAGCAGCTCGTGGACCAGATGAACCAGGCCCTGGACGGCCTGCCTCCGACCTGTAAGTCAACGCTCTGCGCAAAAGGCGACTCGTTACAACGTGATAAACTTATTTTGTCGCGTTTGCCTGAGGTCATCGCCCGATGTCTGAGGAGTACTTTTAAAATTCACGGTCACGGGACGACCGGGCGACCCTCTCCGATGACTCAAGTACCGATACTTACGGTCTAATAAATGTTTCCTTTCCACAGACATCGAGAGCTTCCTGAAGCGCTTCAGCGACCTCCCGCTGATCCCCAAGTCCAAGCTCACCAAGGAGCACAAGTGCTGCGTGGGGCTGGACAAGCTCACCGAGGAGCAGAAGTCCGAGCTGCAGCCCCTCTGCAACGAGTGAGTATATCAACTGTCCCGCCGCCCGCCGGTCGCACCCAAGAGAGTTCGCGAAGATGGGTCCGTTTTTCATCCTTTCTTTTTCTCTCTCTCGCTCTGCCGCAGGTACCGCGAGAAGTTCGGCTTCCCCTTCGTGGTGTGCGCGCGCGAGGCGAAGGTGGCCGAGCTGCCCATCAAGCTGCGGAGCCACCTGCTCAACACCAAGGACCAGGAGCTGGAGAGCGGCCGCAAGGAGGTCAAGAAGATCGCCAGGCTGCGACTCCTCGAAGTGGTGGCAGCTTGAATAAATACTCCCGTCCATCGCACTGTGTTTAGCTAAACATCCAAAGCGAGGGAATGACACAGAAGCATGACTGATACGATTAACTCACTGACAAAATGCTGGCAAATTTTTATACTTAGTATTTTTTGATTAGGACAAGTAATAACTTATTTTCAATTCTTATTTATTGTAATGTTTAGGATACTGACAAGAAGTACAAACTTAGTGAGTGATGAAACTACCGTAGTCTGTGATACTCGGTGATAATTTTCGTGAAGCAGGTCTACGAGAAAAATCTTTCTGCTTATGCGGGAGAGGAACCGATAAAGGTCCTGGGGGCGTTTTCCCAGTGAGACTTTTTTCATTCCCGAAAGACAGTCTCGTGGTGTCAGACGGCCAAAAATGTTCCTTGTCAAATGAATAAAAAAGAAAACTACAAACAAATTGTCTTATTTATAGCGTATTTCGGCAAACATTGGCCGAAAAAGAGCGGGTAGAATATAAAGATTCCTGATTGGTCGAGCTTCTACCCCCTCTACCGGTGTGCCGTAGTGGCGAGAATCTCTCGACCAATCGGAAACGTTTATGTTCTACCCCCTCTTCTTCTTCCTCCGTTAGCCGAAATACACTATTGCCGATAGCTCACGCCCTATACTCTCCTCCAGTGTGTCCCCGTTTCTGATTCACTCAACTGCTCTCACGGGAAAAAAATTATTCAAGCCATTTAAAAGGGCGGTTGCTCTCGCCCTGTACATCTCGCCCAATTCGGGCGATAACCCCGCGGCGAGCCCGATAAGAAGTCGGTACAGCTGATAGCCCCTTCCCTCATTTCGGCCCCTACGCGGCGAACAGGGGGCGGGGCAGGGGCGAGGCAGGGGCGGGGTAGGACGGGGGCACAACTGTGCTTTGTTGTTTAATTGACGGCCACGAGGACGTCACGTGGGCTGCTCTTGCCCCCCAAATAAATTGGGAGTTCAGTTCCTCGAGTGGAATGCACGCGGGACAGTCAAACTTCGGAGAAATCTGTTGGGCCGCCGACCTTTTGGTGGTCGCCGCGGAGTACCGGTCTGTGGGGCGCATCCTCCTGCCCCTGGTCCCACCGTGCTGTCCCACTCTCACTGGGCACCCGCACGCGACAACACTTTAGCTCTCCAAACACCTGATAAATGCAGGTGTTTTTGTTACCAAAGACTAAACTACCATAACTAGGTGTCTTTACCCCTCCCGGCGCGTCGTTGGTCAGCCGGTCGGTATGGCGTGCGTACCGAGTCGCGTGGACGACATGCCCCTGTTCACGCATTCGCTCATTGTCAAGTCCGTCCCTCGTGACGTGGCCGTCCCCTCTCCCCCTCTCCTGTTTATTCCCCAGCCGCCCCGCGCCACGCCACGCCACGCGGTCTGATGACGGCGATTGCCGCCGAAAGGGAAAACAACAACGTAGTGTCAGTTGTTTGGAGTCAGACAGCCGGGCCGGCCGCGTCCCCGTCCCCGTGAGTGCTACCCGGGTGCTTCTGCCGTTTGTAGGCCGCCCCGTCACAGCGACGCTCTTCGGCCGCAGTATATCAACCGACGCCAAGGTAAGTTTGTCCGTCAGTCTTGCACAAAAAAATAAATAAAAATGGGTCTCTTCCTCGACGCCTGCGCTTTACCAAGTCGCCCCGTGCACACGAAACCCTCGCGAATGGGTCATTGACATGATTTTAACATCAACATGACGCAGTTTTTGCATACTTTTTGACTATTTCGCGACCAATTCAGTCATGTTAACGCTAATATGGCGTGCTTCTGACTTTTTCGTGTGCATTAGGACGTTAATATTTATGTCCCGTGCTTTCTGCTGACTGCCCGTATCACGGCCGTGCTCGTTCGAAATCCGTAGGTGGGAGGGCCTGATGTTCATGTTTGGCGGTGGTTGTTTTTTCCCATCCCTTAGATGCTGATGGGGCCGATTTCGATGACGGCCGTCAACCTATTGGAGCCGGCCGAGTTCACGCGCGTGTTCGGGAATGTGGTGGAGCTGGCGCCGTCCATCGGGTCGGTGCTCGCGCGGCGGCGCCCCCTGAAGGACGTCCAGCACCTCCTCACCGAGCTCAACACTATCATCGACGGCCTCAGCGACAGCGGTGAGTGCGGCGCGCGGCGCACTGAGTCGGAGGAGCCAAGTCTTGTCGTTACAGTCTTCTTGCATAGGAATTTTAAAATCCGAAAATTTTTAGCGGAAAATTTGGAAACTCTTTCTAGAAAAATAGTGGAAAGTGTTAAAATATTTCCAGAAAAATTTGAAATTGAAACTTCTGAGGGAAAATTGTGAGATTCTAAGGAAATATTGAAAAACGTTGCCGAAAATGCTTTTCCGGAAAATTCAAATCCCTACTTTTACACCACCGGCAGACAAGGTGGACATCCTGAGGCGGCACCCGGACCTGGCCGGCGTCCTGGCGGAGAAGGGGCTGCTGACGACCGAGTCCACGGCGGAGCAGAAGAGCGCCGGGCTGGACCAGCTGACCGAGCAGCAGAAGTATGACCTGCAGCGGATGAACAAGTCGTGAGTACCATATAGCATGTCATATAACGGTGCGTTATCGCCTTGGGGGGCCCTGCGCGTATCGTCCAACCGGCCGCTATCTCAGCAGCCGGGACTCACTGGAGGTGCCGCGCCGCACCTTGTCACTCCCTGTCCACAAACAATATATGCCGCTTTTAGATAGCGGGGATTTTCTTTGCTTTTATTTTCCGCGTTTCTTTCAGATTGGTGAGTGTAATGAAAACTCTAGTGTAAAAAAAACTCTAGTGCAAACCGGGTTGGAAAAATCTTTTTGAATAAGAAAAATTGTTGTTCCCAACTTCTTTCGTTTTTACGGAGTTTATAAACTCAGATAGTCTGCATTGAACTTGCCGGGTCGGATGTCACTGTCGCGAGCGGTTTTGTGGAAAAAAGTGTCTTTTGGTATCAGATTGTATACCGTCTCGACGCGGCGCGGTGACACCACTCTGACGTCATCCCTGACGCGTGGCGATCACTACCCCTAGAGAGTCCTGGCGTTTCTCTCCCTTTTGCACTCTAACCACCCGCACCCGCTGCTCGCTTTCCGTTGCAGATACCGCGACAAGTTCGGCTTCCCGTTCGTCATCTGCGCGCGGGAGAACAAGGCCGTCGCCATCCTGGAGGGGCTGACCACCCGCATGATCAACACCCGCGAGCGCGAGCTGGACATCGGCATCGGCGAGGTCAAGAAGATCGCCAGGCTGAGGGTGTGCGACCTGGTCATGGCTTGAGGGCGACCGCGCAGGACCGCGACGAGGACAAAAGGACTGAATCCATCACTATCGGCTGCGCCGGGCAGGACCCTCACCGTCATACTCCCGCCAGCCTCAAGAGACTGCCCACGGGGTCGCTGGAGAATGGGACACCCTGTCACTTACGTATACGCAAGTATGTAGATTAAATTGCTGGCAACACCTTTCTCCCTCTTCAGCCCCTCAGACTGTTTACATTAAAAATGACTTAAAAGTATGGGAAAAAAAATATGTTTAAAGTAGGAAAATTTTCTATTTACGCGGCTGTTCTACCGTTACATATTGTTATATTTATTGTTGTAAGCACTGTTATATCTATTAATAAAATATCTTCTTACAACTTGGCGGCTTTTCGACTGTACATAGTGGTGACGTGCGCCCACCCACCGCGCCCTTGGGAACTTGAGAACTTGTCTCTCTTTATCAGCATTGCTCAAAATACTATTTGCCTGAACGGACACCCAGAATAGGAACTACCGCCCCTCCCCCCGCCCCCTCCCACTCCACACCCACACTCGCCCCTTTCGGTTTATCGTAGTTGTCCCTGTTTGCCCCGCCGCTAATACGGGCAAACGACGCAGCAGCGGGAGGGGGTCGATCATTTACGGATGAATTAATCGACGTATACTTTCGATTCATTTCTCCGACCCGACCGCGGGCCGTTGGCATATGGCGTGTGAGCTGCTGCGGTCCGGCGCGGGGTCGCTGATAGCGGCCCTCTATATACGGCGCGACGATTTAATTTGTCACCTCAGTCCACACCGCTGCATCCATCTTTGATGACTCCGCTGCTTCACTGGGGTCGCGTGCACCGCGGGGGCCGGCGGCGGGCAGCCCCTCGTAGACTGTACCGAGCAGCAGCGCAGCGGCGCCCCAAGGTCTTGTCGCAGGATGTTCGGTTCCCAGAAGAGCTCCGCCTTCGATTCATGTCCTAACCCCCGTACTCTTTGCCTTGCGCGGGCGACGGCGTCTTTCTTCGATTCGGGGGGTATAATGATTGGGCCCGACCCAACTCGGACTGCCACAAAAGCGGAATGACCGGTGTCCGTATCGGATCGATCCTCCTGGTGGACGTGTTTTTAATTCATCGTCTAATGATGCGCTCGCGGGGACGCGGCCAGCGGCCAGCCGCCGAGGGTCACCTGTATGCGCTCCGGCCCGGTTTTCCTCAAGGGGAGATGGAAAAGAGGGGGGCGGTGACTTTTTTATTATTATCACGTGCAAAAGAAGTGACGGAAGAATAATTGCGATGGGGCTTTGCTTTCGGCCCTTCCGTGCGGCGCGTGCGCGTGCGGCCGACCGCTTCCAGTTCGAGCGACACGTCATGATCCCGGTGCCCGATAAAGAGCGGTCCTACCCTCCGTCCACCACCCTAACCCCGCACCCCCTCCCCCCTCGGGTGTCCCGCTCCACCACAGAGATCTGCATTTTTTGAGTGAGTGATTGTTTTATTTTTTATTCCAACTTCATTTGTTGCACTGTCTGCGGGCAAACGTTTGTACACAAATCCGAACCGAATGCACGGCCCGCGGACCGCTCCATCGCGTGTACTGGACACCATGGCGTTGGGGTGGCCGCCGGACGGGGTGCAGGGGTTGTAGTGGGAGGGGGTTGGGGGTCCCATGCCCACGCTCCGGGCCAGCGGCTGTCACCAGAGCCGCGCGCGCCACAGACTGCCCAGCGGCCTGCCCGAGCGCCGTCCGCCCCCCTCGGTCACCATGCCGTCCGCGCCCTCACCGCCCTCAGCCCGCGGCTCCGCGGCCCGGCCCGGCACCGCGGCCACCTGACCGCAGAGGGGTTGAGGAGGACGCACTCCTCTTAGCGGCGGCAGCTGAATATCTCAAGAGGACACCGCGACCCCTGCGCCAAAATGGGGTAGGTACAGTGGTGGTACAGCGCGACGACGGGCTAGGCGGGGGCGCACCACTGGCCGCGCCGCAGTCGGACGAGGACGATGACAGGGGCATGAGACTCCCCACATCGACATCCCCTGGGTGTCGTCAGCCGGCCAGGACGAACGCAAAGGCTTTTCGCGGCCGCTGACTCGTGCCCCTCGTGCCGCGCCCGCACCCCTAAGCACCCGCGCGGCGAGGGCGGGGACATGCGGGCGGCCTTGGCGCGGTGCGTCATTAGTTTGTTAAATAGGTTTACGCTTTTAGTTTTTGAGTCGGGGGCCCCGATGACAGCTGGCCTTTATTGACCGACCGTTGCATGCGCCCGTAAGGCTCGGGATCCGTGGGAAAGGGGGCTGGGCCAGTTGACAAATTGATACGGTTGGATTGTTCTTGGGTGAAAAATGAGATACATAGGCACACCAACGGCCAAAGATTTGGTCCGAAATGATTTTTTGGGCGCAGCGCGGCGTGCAGCTGCAGCGACCCGAGCGCCGTCTCGGCCATCACCATCGAGACCGGGCCGCCGGACGGCGCGGAGGCGCGGGAGCTGGCCGAGGGGCTCATGGACGACGACGGCGTCTTCCACGGCCCGGACGGCTTCGACGCGGACTGCTCGCTCGCCGAGTACCTGCTGCGGTACCTGCGGTCGAACGCGGCCGCACAGAAGATCGCGCAGGTGGACGCGGAGACCGGGGACGTCTGGTCGTTCCGCACACTCCTGACGGAGACGGTGCAGATCGCGACCGCGCTGGAAGAGGATGGCTTCGGAGTGGGCGACACGGTGGCCATGTTCTCCAAGAACTACATGGAGCTGTACAGCGCCGTGCTGGGCTGCCTCATGGCGGGCATCACCGTGGCCACCATGGTGCCCTCGCACGGCCCCGCCGAGCTCCGGCACCAGTTGCTGCTCTGTAGCCCCAAGGCCATCTTCGTGGAGGCCGAGCTACTGTCCAAGACCGACGAGGCCCTGGAGGACTTCCCCGGCGAGGTGAAGATCTTCACCTTGCAGCCCGTGGCGGACGCTGACCATACGACGAGCTACCACACTTTGTCCGAGAGGGGCTTCTCCGCGGATCCGGATACGTACACGCCGGCTGAGATCCCGGACAGGTCGGTGGTCGGTCCCCGCTCGTTTAGATGTCGTGTTGGTCGGCCCTTTGCCTTGGCCCTCGCGTTCTGATGTACTGTTTGCCTCTCCAGATCCAACCACGTGGCCTTCATCCTGTACTCGTCCGGGACGACGGGGCTGCCCAAAGGGGTGCAGATTCCGAACCAGGGCCTAACCACCATGACAATGAACATGAAGATCGTGCCGAACATACCCAACCTGCCGGACTCGACCTCCCTGGTGCTGGCGCCCATCTCGTGGATCTCGGGCGTGCTGCTGCTGCTCAAGTGTACCGAGACGGGCTCGCGCCGGGTCAGCATCCCGAAGCCCACGCCGCGCACAGTCATCTCCGCCCTGCAGAAGTACAAGGTGGACTTGTGGCCCTCGGCGCCGCCCGTCCTCATCTCGCTGGTGCGGCACCCCGCCGTGCGCATGCTCAACTTCTCCAACCTCCAGAGCATCATGTGCGGCGGGGGCCCGCTGAGCGCGGAGCTGCAGCGGGAGGTGTCCAAGAAGCTCAAGTGCACCGTGGTGCAGGGCTACGGGTCGACCGAGGCTGGCATCGTCCTCACGACCACCTTGGAGGAAAACAGAGACGGTTCGATCGGAAAGCCTGGGCCCTCGGTGTCCGTCCGGCTGGTGGACCTGGACACCAACGAGGTCATACGGGAGGTCGGGCGGGTGGGCGAGCTCCGCATACGCAGCCCCTGCACCATGATCAGCTACATCGGCAACCCCGAGGCCACAGCCGAGTGCTACGACGACGAGGGCTGGTTCAAGAGTGGGGACCTCTTGTCTTTCGACGCCGACGGCTACTTCTTCTACGTGGATCGCCTCAAGGAGATGATCAAGTACAAGTCGCACCAGGTGGCGCCCACCGAGCTGGAGACGGTCCTCTTGAACCACCCGGGCGTCAAGGACGTGTGCGTGATGGGGGTGCCGAACGTGCTGGACGGCGAGCACCCCATGGCCTTCGTCGTCAGGTCCAAGAATAATGTGACTGAGCAGGAGCTGCAGAACTTCATTGCGGGTAAGTTTCTGAATGTAAAAATTTAGTAAGGAAATATCTGTCGGTGCAGTTCACTGGCTCTTGGTCTAGAAAGAGAAAGCTATAGTTGGGTGGTGTGGTACGGTGGTTGTGCTGTAAGTCAGAGATAAATTTAGAAGCTCTTTGAGAAACATAGATCTCTTCGTGTAGGCGCCTGTAGGTATGCAATCTTCTGTCAAGCGTACAGGAGCGTTGTGCCGGTGGCCTACCCTACGGCCGGCAGGGGCCTCAGATGTGGTTCCAGAGTATCTTCTCTTTCCGGTTTATGTTTTCACAACGCGTGCATGTGAAAGGTGAATGGCATGATTGGCTGTGGTTTGGGTTGGGTGTAATGTAATGGAGTAAGCCAGAAAGACGCTAAGGCGCCCGTAGGTAGGCAATTTCCAACAAGAAGCACAGTGGAGTTTTGCGGGTGGCCTACCCTACCGGTCGCAAGGGGGCCAACCGACGGATTGGCAGTTTTCTCTATACGCTTTACATTTTCTAAACACGTTTCCGTGCCGGTGTTGTAGAGAGGCTGTCGGACCCCAAGCACCTGCGAGGAGGGGTCGTCTTCCTGGACGTCATCCCCAGGACGGTGACGGGGAAGACTCAGCGCGCACAACTCAAGATAATCCTCGCGAACCACCGGACGGAGGAGTGAACACAATAATTTGTAAACAGTCTGGCGGGTATTAAAACAGAATAAAAACACGAGACTTGGGTGCTCATTCCCCTCAGACCTCAGACCCCCCTCACAAGACCCGTCAAACGCCCCATCCAACATTAACGGGCTCTCTTTGAAAAGGCCACGGCCCTTTGCGGTTCGGCCGCTACGGTGGAAGAGTCCATGCTGGAGGCCCAGTCACTGGTCGTCATGCGACGCTTCACCTGCTGGCTGGTGCTGCTCGGTGGGTAACCGTTCGGTTTGAGTCCTTCCCTGGGAATAGAACAACTACGATCTCTATTTGGCTTGTTTGACAGCTGCAGCGGCACAGCAGTGCGCATGGAGCACGGCCTCCGCCAAGGCGACCTCGAGGGCGCGGCCGCCGACCAGGAGGGCCTCGCACTTGTTCCGCGTCCCGCACCGCCTCGAGCAGGACGCGGCCTTCCAGATCGGCGTCAACCTCACCAACGCCACGAGGGACATCGTGGCGGGGCTGCCCGTCGACCGCATCACCCTGGTGTTCGACGGCACTATCGGTGAGCAGCGTCTCGATTCCGTCAACCGCCACCAATCGACCCTCAAACCAGTGCGAAATGACCATAATATCGGTACGTGTCGACACCATTTTGAGAGTTATTTTTCACTTTCATTGATCTCGCAGACGCCAGATTTCGAAGGCTGCTGCCCGTGTCTCTGCATCTGGCTGACATACTGACACAAAGCTACAGCATCAGTACGCAGAAGCTCATGGACGAGGTCATCATTAACAGCTTCTGTAAACGTACTCGCCTTTTCGCGATAAAACGGTCTTATTTTGTGGACTGTTATAAATCGTGTTTTTTTCGCAGTACATCGATCACATACGGCAGACCATGGCGAGGTACGAGGGAATGACGAGCATAATTTTTTGCTCCCGGAAGTCGTCGGAAAAGCTCATCAACACGGTGAGCAATACGCTCCCGAGCGTTAATCTATTCGCATGAATCGTGAGACAGTTTGTCCAACGCACCTTTATTCCGCTTGCAGATCCGCAACGCCAATCTAATCCAGCGCAACATCCTCTACATGTTCTACTACGAGCTGTGGCCACCCAGTGATGTTTTTCTTGGCGCTTTGCAGGAGGCAATGCGTGTCGCTGTCATTTCCAACCCTCGTCCGGGAACGTGAGTTGAGTTGTTTATCTCGAGACAGCTTCTGGAGAAATCCACTTCTTCTGCTACATGTTGAAATAAGAAAGTATGTATTCTCGAAAACCCCCTTTGATTTCAGGTACAGAATTTACTACACGCAGGCGACCCCGGAGGGCAGCGGGACCCTGAAGCTCGTCAACTGGTGGAGCTCCAGCGCGACGCTCTTCCGGTACCCGGTCCTCCCCCCTGCGTCGCGCATCTACACGGACCTCCGCGGCCGCACGCTGCACGTGCCCGTGCTGCACGTACGTGTACTCCATCAAAAGCTCGCTCCGGCAGCCTCCCGAGGGGTACCTCACTTTAAAAAAATCAGTGTGCACCTTTAGCAAGAATCAGAGAAAAAACACAACAGAAACATCAATAACAATCGGTGTACACTTGAATTTATAGTGAATACCCCTCGCGGCCCCCCGCGTCCATAACCTCTGCGTCTAATGCAGAAGCCGCCGTGGAACTTCGTGACCTACACGAACAAGACCTTCCTGGTGGAGGGCGGCCGGGACCACGAGCTCCTCCTCCTGCTCGCCGACAAGCTGCACTTCCGCTTCGACTACTTCGACCCCCCGGAGCGGAGTCAGGGCTCCGCCTTCGTGGAGACCACCGACCACAACAAGACGTTCCCAGGGATCATCGGTCTCATCAGTGAGCGGGTGAGCAGTGAGGCGAGCGGGAGGTGAGCGAGGGTCGCGAGGGTGGCGTGGATTTTTGCAGCGACAAAACTCTGATCTCGTTGCCGCAGCGAGCGGACCTGGCGCTGGGCGACATCACCATCACGTTCGAACGGAGCCAGGCAGTCGAGTTCTCCTTCCTTACCCTGGCGGACTCGGGCGCGTTCGTCACGAAGACCCCCAGCAGGTTGAATGAGGCCCTGGCACTCGTGCGTCCCTTCCAGATGGAGGTTGGATTCGCCTTTTCTCGTAACCATTTGACAAAAATACCCAACCACTTACACGAAAAACTCGCCCTCTCGCAGGTTTGGCCGGTCCTGGTGCTCACCATGCTGCTCACCGGCCCGCTGCTGTTCGGCGTGCTCGAGGCGCCCCGGCTGTGGCGCGGCAAGGCGTGGATGGCCAAGCGCGGCCGGAAACGGATATCGGACAGGAAGCTCTTCGGCAACGCCGTGTGGTTCAGCATCGCGCTCTTCTTCAAGCAGAGTGCGTCAATTACCCGCTCACCGCTTACCCAAGGCTCAGCCCTCTCCACCCCCTGGCTCACCGACTCACCCCCTAGCGCACCCACCGACCCACCTCTGCTTCTGCTTCCAGGCGTTCGCGGGCCCGAGGACAGCCACCGCGTCCGCCTGCTCACTATCCTCCTCTCGTTCGCGGCCACGTACGTCATCGGCGACATGTACTCTGCCAACCTGACGTCGCTGCTCGCGAGGCCAGGGAGGGGTAAGTGTTCGGAAGGAATCCAAGTCTGAGAGCACGGCATTCTGTGTGTTCAGAGTTGTGTATTATTGTGTTCAGAGCGACCCATCAGCAACCTAGAGCAGCTGGCGGAGGCCATGGAGACGCGGGGCTACCAGCTACTCGTCGAGAAGCACTCATCGTCCTACAACGTCCTCGAGGCAAGTTTTGCGCGGCCCCGAGACACCCCCGGTACACTGTTGGAAAAAACACAAAGTATTTAGCACAGTCGGTATCGGTGTTTTGATTTCGGAGTACGGGAATGTTTAACTTGGAGCCTTGCGCACAACAGTAAGGAAGTTCGGATGTCCTGTACCTCATTAAGTAGGGAAATAAATCATGTACAGGACTTTTAACAGTGTAGGAGCAGCAGTGAGTTGGGACACGACACGAGACAAAGTGAATGCAGCGAAACGGACGATAATAGCGATGATGGATGATGAGCTCGGTGTGACTCCGTTCGGACTCTGTTCGTTAGAGCGGTCGATAGTGATGAGGTGGTCGAACGAACACCCGCCCTCCCGCGCGACCGAGTGCCCTGCACGCAGTGCATTGAACCCCCACCCCGGCCGCTATCAGGCTATACTGTACCACTATCGACGGTTACAATCAAGGAGAAGCAGGGCAGGGAGGAGGGGGGGTGTCATTATATAAAGTGAATAACGCCGTATAAAGTTTAACTACCAGTCATCATATTTCGCGGGGCGGCGCGTCGGCACGCTGGGCGTCGTCGGCGGGGTGAGAGCGCCCAGAGCGCCCGTGGCGCGGCCAGACGACTCGCCCGCGTCGCCCGGACGGCGGGTGGGCTGCCCGCCCGCACGGCGCCCGGCTGACGCTCCGCTCCGCCCCGCGCCCCAGAACGGCACCGGGGTGTACGAGCGGCTGTGGCGGCTCATGCTGCGCCAGCGGGAGATGGCCGAGGTGGCCAGCGGCGAGGACGGCATGGTGCGCGTGGGCCGCGAGCCCAACCTGGCCATGCTGGGCGGCAGGGAGACGCTCTACTTCGACACGCGGAGGTTCGGCGCGCACCGCTTCCACCTCAGCGAGAAGCTGTACACGCGCTACTCGGCCATCGCCATGCAGATCGGCTGCCCCTACAGCGAGAGCGTCAACAACATGTGAGTCTACCTGCTACCACACTCAACTAGCTAGCAGCGGTCGGCCTTTTCCTTTGACTTTCTCCTCCTGTCCACAGACTGATGCAGCTCTTCGAGGCGGGCATCCTCACGAAGATGACGGAGGAGGAGTACGAGAAGCTGGGCGACAAGCTGCACGATCAGGGCCCAATGCTGCCGGAGCGGACCGATGGCGCCGGCGACGAGGACGGGCAGGGCGACGAGGAGGGCGGTGACGGCGAGGACGGCGCTGCCACCACGCTGACCCCAGCCGACTACGGCTTCTACCAGGAGGACGACTACTACGACTACCCCCAACCACAAGACTACGGCGCGCCGAACTGCCACGAGGTAAGCTGGCGAAAGCTGCGTAGGGGTACCAGAAATATACGCCATTTTTAGAGGTTGGTGAGATACCGCAATCATCTCAGTAACTCCATTAACTCAGATGACTGTGAAAATGTACTACACCACCACAACACCCAACCCTTTGTTCGTGGACAGGGTTGCCCCCAACCGTCGGCGCCGTCCGAGACGTCCACCGCGACCCCACCCACGACGACGACGCCAACAACGACGACGCCCATCGCCCCGGAGGGGCCCGCGGAGGGCAGCGAGCGGGAGGTCAAGAAGGGTGGCCGGAGCACGTCGTCCACCGACGAGACGCTGAGGCCGATCTCCATCAAGATGCTGCAGGGCGCGTTCTACGCCCTGCTGGCGGGGTACGTGCTCGCCGGTGAGTGCTTGCCCTGCTGCACGTTGAGCCCATCGAGGGATATACTTCACTGTAAATTCAATTTTAAATTGAAGTTTTTCTTAACCTTTTCTAAAAAAAATCTGAATGTTTAATTGATTTTTTCAATTGATTTCTTCTTAAATGTTTTGACTTTTCACTGATGTCTTGACCCCTTTGTGCGCAGCCCTCGCGTTCTGGTCGGAGCTCGCCACCAAGCGCCTGGAGCGCTGCTCCTGCCACTGCTACGCGGCCACACGCGCCTGCGCCGAGCGGCCGTGGGTGCGGTGCTGGGTACGGTCCTCCGCCTGCTGCCGGTGCTGCGACTCGGTGCGGGGCCACGCCGCCGCCACCAAGCAGCGCTTCAGGCAGGCCGTCGCCGCGGCCCTCGTCATGCTGCGCGCCAGCTCGGACGAGGACGACGACGAGGAGGTTGACAACGCGTCCGTCGCCGACCGACCGGTCACGCACGAGTACCTCAAGGCCTACCTGCGCAATGAGCAGCTTCTCCGTCGGCCGTCCAACACGACGTCGTCCTCCTCGTCCGCGTCCGTGTCCCAGCAGACCTCGTTCGCCACATTCACGACGCATACGCGAACCTCGCGGTTCAAGTCCTCGTCGAGGTCGTCTCCTCCGTCTTCATCCCCTGGCAGCAGCATCTCGTGTATCAGGCCATTCATTAATTAAAACAGTTTCGATTGACGACAGTTTATTTTATTCTTAACAACAAAGCTGTAATAAAAATAAATTAGGAGCTCTAGTTCTCTTTACACCAGCCAACCGTTTGGTCTAACGACACATGTATTCTTGACGGCTAAAAGTTTGTACTTTAACTGTTGCAGTTTGGCTGCCCTATGTGAACGAGTAAAAATAAAGATACTAAGTACAATGTACTCGTACAAAGTCAGTCTCACAAAGATGAAATCTCTCACGCCCCAAGACCGTGAAGCTTCCGGGAAGACACTTCAGAAAAGTCATTGCGAGGGGTAATACTGAAAACGCTAACCACGCCCCACTCGGTGGGTTAGACGGCGGACGCCACCGTGGTCTTGTGGGTGGCGGGCTGCTGGGCGTCTAGGAGGGCCGGGTCGTCGAGGTTGGTCTCCAGGTACATAGAGCGCGCCCTGTCCGCCCGTCCAGGCGCCGGTGTCTTGTTTAGCTCCTCCAGGAGGCCCTGGCCGAGCTCCAGTGCGGACATGGACCCCCTCTTCTTGGCGGTCTGTACCTTCTCCGGCTCCAACTGCGGGATATCCGACATCCAGTCGGGCACCTTGTAGTCGTCCAAGTTGAGCTTGGCTGGGGCCCCATTCGGTGAGTAGGTCAAGGTGTTGTTGAGGGGCTGCTGCTCGGCGCTGTCCGAGCCCCTCGGGGTCCCACGACCCTTGGCGCGCCCGCGCACCCGCAGGGCGATAGCGTCCTCCAAGGTGGCGGGAAGCTCGGACCCGAGGGTCTCGGGCAGCAGCAGCGAGCTGCTCGACACGGCCAGAAGCAGGGCGCCGATGAGGACGAAGGGCAGCCACGCGCGATCGTCGTCGCCAAGGTGCATCACCTGCGGGGAGAGGAGGTTGCCGACACGGCCCATGAAGCCGCAGATACCGAGGGCGGCGGAGCGGATGCCGGTCGGGAACAGCTCGCCGGTGTAGATGAACATGGTGCAGAAGCAGCTGACGAGGGTGGCCTTGCACGCCATCACCAGCACCAGAGCGGGGATGCCGCCGTCGCCGCCCGAGCCCACCAGGATGAAGGCCACGCCGCAGGAGGCCACCGACGAGCAGCCCAGGAGGACGGATAGAGGGATGCGACGGCCGAGCCGCGAGAGCGCGACGAACGTGGCGGAGTACGCGGCCATCTCCAGCGCCGCGCCCAGGGCGAAGTTGGCGAAGCGGTCACCGGTCATGGAGGGCATGCCGAACGTGATGACGTAGTACGAGAGCGCGACCGTGAACCTGCGGGCGGGTGAGCAGCGGGGTTAGCAAGAGGGCTACAAATTGCACATCATGCACTCTTACTACAGTTGTTTAAAGAGATTTTCAAGCCCCGAAATTTTACCCAGTAGAAATGGCCCAATTGAAATATCTCCAGGAAATTTTGAAAATAATGAAACTGATAAGGGAAAATTTTAGACATTCACAACCAAAAAATTCTTTACAAATTTCCCAAAAATGCTTGTTTTGAAAATTAATTTGTGTAACTGCATTCGGACGCGCACACTCACCACACCCCGACCATGCACAGCGTGTAGAGGCGCAGCCCGCCCGCGGCCACCAGGTCCAGGACGCTCACGGAGGTAGACTGGCCGTCGCCGCGGCGGCCGGCATCCTCCCGGGGCAGCGTCGAGAAGCCGTCAACCTCCTTCTTCTCTCGGTAGCTGCCGTGGCCGGGCAGGCCGCGTTTGAACGGTGGCGAGTGCCCCCTGCGAGCAAGACAACACACGTCCGCGAGGTGAGAAAATCACGAGCAGCTTTCGGACATAGCTAGCTAAACACTCCCGAGCTGCTCAATGTCCCACCTGGAGGCGAGCCACAGCCGCGACTCCGGCACCCACGGCAGAAAGAGCAGCACGGCCAGGGAGGGCGCGGACACAGCGAGCTGCAGGTCCCTCCAGTGCGGCAGCAGGTAGGCGAGCGCCGACAGCACCACCAGCCCCATCGCCCAGTAGATCTCCTGCACCACGCCCACCGCCGTGCGCAGGTGGCCCGGGAACAGTTCCATGAGCAGCGTGAACGTGGTGCCCTGCAAGCCCTGCAACACAAAATTCAACGCTTAAACTAAGACAAAAAGAATAACAAACAAAATTTGCATTTTTCAAACAAAGCGATTTCTTAGTGGTGTCGTATTAGGCTAAGCAGAGGACGATGAAACTGGTTAAACCACCCAAACAAGGCTGCCGTTCGGGGGGTTGCCCGTTCGCTAGGGACCCTTCCTTGGGCACCATGCTCTTCTCTGATCTAATCTTGTCCGGAGGTTGGGGTTTTTCGTTGAATGCACAATAATATCGCGGTACGGAGCTCGGTACGCGTATGGAAAAGTCCGCGCGCATCTTATCAGTGGGTGCTGCTGCCGATGACCTGGAGGCGCCTGGAGGCTCTCGGCTGCTGGAGCTGATTGCGAAGACACTGGTCGCGTCAGTCGCCATGGAGAGGTCCGCGGCGTTGGTCGCGCTGGTGCTGCTCGGGGCGGCCGCGGTGGCCGCCGACCCAGAGTCTTACGCGGGGTGCGTTGCCGACACCGACCCGACAGGCTGAATGTACGTGTGGCAAACACGTCGGCCTCTACGCTGATCTCATCCCGCGTCGTCCTGCTGCAGGTTCCGCGTGCTGGCGGTGGCCCTGGAGGACCCCAACGGCCACAACATCACGTCCAAACTGCTGCCCCGCCTGCGAGAGCTGGGCGTCGAGGACTCGTGGGGGCTGGACCGCGAGAAGATGAAGGTCGCCCTCATGGTGGCCCCGGACAAGGTGGCGGCCGTTGTCGCGGCCCTCGAGGACGCGCGCCTGCCCTACCAGGAGCTGTGGTCCGACGTGCAGCAGTGAGTGCGGGCATACCGCGGGGACCCACAGGGCAGCTATAACACTTTAAAGATTGGTCTCCATCGCAGGATCCTGGATATCGAGGCACGGAAACGAGCGGGAATGCCGCAGATTCGGAGCGAACTGCCGGACGGCCATGTCACGTTCAATCGCTTCATGCGCTACGAAGAGGTGAGTCGAGTGTGGTGGATGGCTGAACAAGCAGACCGAAGCACAAAGAACGAGAATTGACGAGGAGTGCCGCATAGATCGAGCGCTACCTGCACCGCCTGGCGCGGGACCACGCCGACCTGGTGACGCTGCAGCCGCTGGGCCGCAGCTGGGAGGGCCGCGCCATGACGGGCGTCCTGGTGTCGCTCGGCGGGAACAAGAAGAGGCCCTCCATCCTCGTGGACGCGGGCATCCACGCCCGGGAGTGGATCGCCCCCGCGTTCACCCTGTACCTGCTGCAGCAGCTCGTCGAGGTGAGGGAGAACCGCCACCTACTCGAGGACCTCGACTGGTACGTCCTCCCCATGCTCAACCCGGACGGCTACGAGTACTCTCACACTACGGTGAGTGCACCCCTTTGTTTATCTAGGGATCGTCCAGAAATTACGTCTGTTTTTCTTAGATTCATTCGGCCAAATTCTGGGAGCTCGGCGCCTGCGAGACTCGGGGTAGGCCACCCCGCAGTATTATCATGCACTGCATCTAAGATGTTGCCTACCTACCAGGCGCTATGAGGGCTAGCAAGGGCTGCACTAGCTGAACTTGACGGGTTCGTGGTGGCAAATGACCGACGTACTTTCTGGATGACACCACATTTAAAAAAAAAATCGTTTGGTTTTTTTTTCTCGTCATGTCTTTTACTCAACCAGAACCGCATGTGGCGAAAAAACCGCAGCAACGAGAGTGATCCATGGTGCCGTGGGGTGGACCTCAACAGAAATTTCGACTTCCACTGGAATTTGAGAGGTGCGTAAAATCCTTCTCCTCCGAGAAACTGTCTTGGATAAGTTAAACTCAATAACCGAAGTTGTCACCCCCAGGAGATGGCGCTGCCCAGGCGTGCAACATTGACTACCCCGGGCGTTACGCTTTCTCTGAGCTGGAGACGAAAAATCTTCGCGACTTTATTCTCAATAAGAACAAGGACAAGTCTATAAAGCTGTACCTCACCATGCACAGCTGGGGCTGGGTAAAAAATAATTGAAACTCTAAATAATTGCCGACCAAGCAAAATGAGAAATAACGCACATTGATACACGGTATTTTTTTCAGTTTATCTTGTTCCCTTGGTCGTACACGAAAGAGCATCCTAGTAACTACGACGAGCTGCTGAGTATAAGCAAGGAAGCCAACAAGGCTATGGTCGCGGCCGGATCCAAACACTTCCGGGTCGGGTCGCCGCCAGACATCCTGTGTAAGTCACCGGGCGATGGCGGCGCGCGGTTGGTTTAGTCAGAGTCAACACATGATCCTCACCGCTCCCCCACTTTGCAGACGCCGCCCCGGGGTCTAGCATGGACTGGGTGATGGGCGTGGCCGGCGTGGACAAGGCCTGGTCGCTGGAGCTGCCCGGCGGCGCCGGGAGCGGCTTTGAGATCGAGGAGGCCAACATAGCCGCGACCGTGCGGCCCGTGTTCGAGGGCGTCAAGGCGTTCGCCAGGCACGCCCGGTAAGGGCAGCCCATAAACTCACCTGCACGAAGACGCCGTGCAGCGTCCGCAGCACGGCGAAGGCCTCCAGACTGGGCGCGAACGCCACGCCGATGCCCAGCACGGCCTGGCCCAGCACGCAGCCCGCCATGACGGGGCGGCGGCCCAGCCGGTCCGCGAGGAAGCCCGTGGTCAGCGCGCCCACCGCCACGCCCAGGAAGTACAGCGAGCCCATGAGGGGCTGCAGCGCGGCCCGCGAGCACACCAGCATCCACTGGAGGAAGGGCACAACAACAGCATCACTTACGTGTATTCATGTTACTACCAACCTTTCAGAAAGCACCGAGGGGTCTTTTTTCTGTAAATGCAAGCGTCTACCAACTTTCTGATTTTTTTAAAATATTTTTTTCCTCCTCTTTTTGAGGGGTGAACACTGATGTTTTCGAGTGAAGTACCCCTCGGACATCACCCTGTTTCCTTACCTCAGTGACGATGGTGGCGTCGTCGTCGGCGCCCAGGAACACGTACCGGCCCGTGCAGTTGACCTGGCAGTCGGCGGGCGACGCCACGTAGTTGCCGTCGGGCGCGAGCTCCATGCAGGCCATGGGCGGCCTGTACGCCTGGAAGACGTACATGGCGTGGTTGAAGGCGACGATCATGTGGTGGGAGCTGAGCATCAGCAGCAGCGCCCACAGCCGGCTCGGGGGCAGGTCGCCCCCCTTGAACGCCACCCACCATCGCGCGGACTTGCACATTTCTGCAAAAACACACCAGAGCAGCGTTCACTTACTCATGCGGCACGTTCCGGACACAGGCTCGCGTTTGGGGGGTCCCCACCTCCCCACCGACTCCTGACCCCCCCCCGCCCCCCCCCCCCCCCCCCCCTCCCCTCCCTGCCCAACTCCCTCTACCTCAACAACCTTTACCCAGTGGCTGGCACGAGCCTCCCCGAGAAACCTCATCGATTGCTCCCAGCAGGCTGCCCCCCTGCTTTCCCCGCTTCGATCAAGAACTACCCCCTCTTCGTCTCCTCAGCAGGTGTCCCTCCTCTCGATCTGAGTCCGGCTCGGACGGCGCCGGTCGGCCTGGACGCTGCGGAGCGCGGGACCGCCCCGTCGCCCACATCGGCGCGCACACGCGTTTACGCGCCCAGCCCGCCCCCTCCCCCTGGAGGCCCCGCTGACGGCGCGGAATCGCGTCGTGCGCGACCTGCATGCGGTGCTCGGAAAAGTGCCAACGCCGGCCGACTGTCGAAAAACGACGCACTGGAGCCGATCTACTTTTACTGTTCTGTTGGACACACCCACCCCCTCCTCCTAGCGAAGGAGCAGCGATCTTCGGGGAGACTCGATCGTTTAGACCCAAAAAATCGTCACCAGCACCGAAACATTGTTGACTTCTGACTCTTTTCTGTCCGTATCTCATCTCCTCGCTGGGCCCGCTAGCAGATAAATATGTTTCGGTGGTCCCCGAGGAGGCAATGACGGCGGGGACACTCCATCATCGAGCTGCTCTCCGCAATCGAAGGTCATTGTCAGCGAGCAGCTCGGCGAGCAGCTGCAGCCTCACGCTATAGGACTGCTGGACCCCGCGGCCGCGGGACGGACGCACTGCCAGAAGGAGGAGAGGGCGCGATTTCTGCTGATGAGCGCGCTTTTTTTTTTGCCGCGAATGCACCGACATAAAGACAATGAACCGATCGCCGTGACACTCGCGAGCTGGCGCCGCGCGCGGTTGGCTGCCCTGGCCGGACTGCGATTGACTGCGATACGTTACGATACGCATGTCGCAGGTCAGGCTGCGGGGGCCGCGGGGGCCGCGGGGGCCGCGGGGGCCGCGGACGCGCCGTGAGCCGTGACGCGCGGCCGAGCGTACACCCAGGGGCGCCTCAGTGTCACCAACTGCTGCTGTGCTCACGCTACTGCATGCACAGCAGGTGACCCCGCCAGGACTTCCCCCTGGGGTGGGTGGTGGTGGTAGGTTACCTGCACTGCACTGCTGCCGAGCTGCGGAACCGCATCCGCGACGAAGACTCGCGCCCCACTCACACACTCACACAAACTTACACTCACCCTCTCTCTCTCTCTCACTCACACACACGCACACACACGAGCACGCGCGCACTGCTGACGGACCTCGTCAGCCGTCAGCTCACTTGCTCGGAGTCGGTCGACGGACTGGGTCGGCGCCGGGCCGGGGTTGATCCGGAGGCAGCTCGAGCCCGCCCGCCGCCGCCAGGGGGCGCTACCGGCCGCGGGGGGCACGCGGCTCCTCATTCAAATGACGGCGCGGACTGAGGCGCCGCGGACGGACTGGGCTGGCGGCACGGCCGGCGGGCGCGTGGCGGCGGGCGGCCCTTCCCGTGGTGTAATGCGGGTGGCCTATCGACAGGGAATAGCCGTGCGCCACCCAGCAGAGAGAGAGGCCCTATTCTTCCGGCAGCGATGAGTGTATTTCGGTACGCCACGCGGGAAGAGCGACGCGAATACCCCCCCCCCCCCTTTCCGCTGTCGCCACTCTCTCTCTTGCTCGTCTGTCGGACCCGCGCGCGCCTAGGGCGGGCCCCGTCGCGACGACTACGGCGAGTAGCAAGGCGCGAACGAGGAGAGCGGACGGACAGAATGTGACCGACAGCTGATTGCTGATTGGACAATGCGGAGGGCGACGGCTCTATTGAGCTTGCATTCATTTAGACACAGCCAGAGCACATTTTGCATATTTCTTCGCAAGGCGAGTCGCTAGGTTTACCTGGCATTGATATTCTCTGTATCGCGTTAAGTTCCGTGCACACGGTGTACTTGCTTTGTTGTCCATGCCAGCCGCGGGCCTGGTGCGTTCGGTCGGTCCCGTGTCCACGTCCACGCGGGACGGGACAGGACGGGACGGCACAGGACACGACGCGGTGAGCCTGGCCAGGGCAGTGCTGTACGCTACAGCAATTTGCTTCACTTCCTATGCCGGCCGCGGCACGGCACGCTGGTGCAACAAACGTGCTGCTCTCCACGCCCCACCACGCCCTGCCGCTGACCGTCACGGGGCGCGGGGCGCGGCGGACTGGCGCGACACGAGACTCGCCGTCGCCGTCGCCGCTCGCAGGCCAGGCCGGAGACATTTACATGTTTTACTCTCCGCATCATCTATTTTTAACCGGAGCTTTCCTTGTCGTTTTCCGTCCCGCCGCGACTCCAGAGTCTCTTCCAAACGCAGTTTCATCCAGTTCAACTGCTTTTCGTGAACAGGTCGATTGATCGTTAAAAATGAATAGAGAAGATCCGTTTATTTATGCTACCAATCCCGTTCGTGGCCGGCGCGTTCGCGTTTTGACCCCGAGCTGCTGACCTCAGTGACACTTTGATGACACTCGGGGTATCAACGCGCGCCACGCGAAGGGCGTAAGCTAACGGAGATACTCTGCCCCGACAGGTTCTTTCGGCGGTGCGGTGTAGCGCAGTCTCGAGGTGGTCGTGGGGTATCAACATAAAGCCGCCGCGGGGTCGCCGCACCAGCCGCACCACCACGCACCAGGCCAGAGGCGCGCGCTCCGCTTCCTCATCAAGCACCCCGCGCTCTGCCACACGCGCCTCGCGCCTCACCACCGGTGAACTGCCCCCGCGCCGCCGCCGCCGCCGTCGCACAGTGCGGGTCCCCCCGCTCGCCCCCGCTCCACTTCCCGGCGACGCCGGAGAGAAACCACAGGAAGTGGTTGTTGTGCTGATGTACCAGTAAAAGCTTCTCCAGCCCTCGCTCTAGAGGTTCGCAACACATCCCGCATAGTGTGTGTGTAGGGGGGGGGGGGGCACTCAGGTTGTTACAGGAGGTATGCCCACATGATGAAAGTAAAGTGTCCTTTCGAACGAGAGGGAAAGGGGAAACTGTTAAAAGAATAGGTGGTAAGACGTGCGATTCGAGAAGTTACTGTTCGGCAAGACAAACTAAAATGTCACCAGCATCAGCAACAGTTGAATTTCGAGCTTTTTCGAATCACCGGGTACTACTTCTTCTTACGTATTCATACGCCGATTCAGGTTCATGTCCACTTCCGGTCCGGTCAGTGTTATTTCAACCGTGTCAAAGTGTCAATGTCAACTACACCTGTCAGCGTGTCCTGTAACTTTCCATTTTGTAACTTTTATTTCATCTTTTAACAAAATTACTACCTGTTCTTCGAAGATTGATGAATTAACTTCGCCTGAAGGTAAGAATTACACCATTAACAACATTAACAATAAACTGGTGAAAGGGTTATGTCACACTTATCAGACATGAATGCAACATGAACTGCACATTAAGTATGAATGAATATTTTTTGAATGTGATTTATTTACATTGGCTAAAACGTGCTCTGGAAAGTTCACAGAGTAGAATTCGAAAGATTGTAATGTGACTGACTTACATGAAGAATCTACTGAGGTGTGCGATACATAGATCATTCAAGTTAAAACTTATTTTTGAGGGGTGAGAATATCATGCCCATGCACAGTCCATTTTCTGTGTCAATTACACAGGTTACCTGCATATGCTATTGTCTAAGCCAAATGTATTTTACGCCAATAACTGTCGGAGCACCTTGAAGTTTTTGTAGTTGGCTAAATTTTTTAAATGTCATTTTACAAGCAAAGGTCCTGGCAGTGCGCTTCAATACTTTAAATAAAAATATTGCTTATTTTCTTTAATTCCAAGTACATCTTTTCTTTTACAGTAAGGCAGCTGCTGCTATTCAATGATCTGGTTGCTGGTGGTCAGGCAAACGCTTCTGAGAGTCACTTTCTTCTGGTGGTGTTGCTACGGCTGATACAAGTTGTACTGTGAGTAACATCAGAGTCAATATTCTCGCTTCACATCAGGCTCTCCTCCCCCTTCCCTTTGAAAAAGGAAGCGCTTTCTGAGGCAGTTGCCTGTCGAATATTCGCGTTTCCGACTGCTGTAGACAGGAGGGCTGCCGACCGGACATTGACAGCTGGCTGGTGCCGCTGCGTGCACGTCATGTAAAGGCGCAGCAGCAGCGCGCCGATGCCGATGCCAGCGATTTTGTTTCGCGAAACGAAAGGTCCCGCCTCCCCGCCCCGCGCGCCCCGCCCGCCGAATCTCATCTCATCACATCACACGTCCCGCGTCCGTCCCTTTTGATGTGGGTCCCGGGGCGCCCGTCTGTGTGGGTGTCGCGGGGTGCGGGGCGAGGGGCTGGAGTCGCATCCCGAGGCGACGACACGAACCATTATCCCTCCGCGTTGGCCAACAAGGTGGCGGAGGGCGGGGGAGCGAGTGGAAAGCGAGAGGAAAAGCTCTTAAGTGTGGCGCGGGTGCGCGCGGCCAGCCCAGTCCGCGCCCAGGACCCGCCCGGAGGACAATGCCGCGACAGGTGCTCCTGCTGCTGGCGTGCACAGCCGCGGCGTGCCAGTGCGCGCCCAGGGAGGAGGACGAGTCCGCCCAGAGGTAAGAGCGCCCCGTGAGCCTAAAGCGCACCCCCCGCCCCGGCTGTAGCTGACGGCGCACTTGCCCTGCCCGACCAGGATGCACGCCGCTGAGCCGCAGGCGCAGGCCTCGGGCAGCGAGCGGCTGAACCTCGTCTCCGCGAGTGGCTGGCGGCCCATTCACGACGTCCTGGCGGCCGGCTCGTCGGCGGCCAGCGGGGAGCACCGCCTACCCAGGACGCCGTCGTACGCCGCCCCGCTGTCTGCCGCCGAGCTCGCGCGGCCCAAGGACCTCCAGAGGACGTCCAAGAGGGACCTGTCCGTCGAGCGCAAGGAGCAGGACCGGCAGCGGGTCGACGTGGTGCTGCCTGTGGGCGTGGGGGCGCCGGGGGCGCGCGCCACCAGGGACCCGCTGCCGCCCAGGACGGCGCCGTGGGACAGGCCGCGCGTCGCGCCCATCAGCGAGCCGGACAACGACGTGGAGTCCGTGTACGGCTACCGGTACGTAGAGTGAGGGAGGCGGCTGCGAGGATCTTGAAAGGCACCCTCAGCGAACACCGGACCATCCTGCCCAGATACCCGCCCCCGATTCTCGGCGGCCCCGGCCTGCAGGCCGTCGCGGCGGGACCCTCGCCGACGGCGCCCTTCTGGGAGGCGGCGTGGCTGCGACGCCGCGAGCGTCTCCTGCAGGAGCTGGGCCTGCCGTCGCTGCTGCCGCCGCCGCCCTGCCGCTGCGCCCCGGTCGACCCCTGCCTCGGCTACCTCCCCGACGGGAACCCGGGCCGCTACCGCCTGGAGACGGACCCGTACCGCCTGGGCGTCGGCCCCTACGGGCTGTACGGCGCCTGGGGCCGGCCGCTGCACAGCCACAACTCTGCGCCGCTGGGGGCGGCCCAGCTCCACGACAACCCCAACTAGTGCGATGTGCTGCCCAGCGGCCCCTCTGTGTGTCTGTTTTAGGGGCGTGTTCTATCGGACGCGATCGTTCCCCCTCGCCCCGCCACCACCCCTGCGCTCCGACTCCCTCTGGTCTTTTTTCCCTGGAGGGAAAACGGCGTCCCTTTCAAAGAAAAGCGCGTTACGCGTCCTGTCCGCCCTCGCACCGCCCCCGCGCCGCTCCGCACTGCCCCGCCCCCCGCTCCACCAAATTCCGCCGGCGCTATAACGTGAATTACTGCGTCGCGGTCCCCGACTTGGTCTCTCCCTGGAGACCAACCACCCCGCCCAGCTGGACAAAGACCTTCTTGTGCTTCCCCGAGAGTTGTGAGCGCCGCCCCTCCCCGCCAGGCGCAGTGTCTGACAAGGATTCCGCCCGCCCCGAGGATGGCGACACGGCGTGCCGTGCCGGCCTCCCGTCCTTGTCTTGCTGGAGGAGCTACGCCCATCGCGACGGGCCGGAGAGGAGGAGAGACTGCACTCTATTCTGCCCGAGCCCGGCGGCCGGCCCGGGCCCGGCAACGGCACAGCCTCCGAGGCCCGCGAGCGGCGTTCGGTTTGATTCTGAGATATTACATCTGAGTCTGCCGGACATAAAGAAGGCCCTGCTGAGCACCGCCGCACCGGCGTGGCTCTGGGAGGCCTGAGGCCGTGCCGGGGGGCAAGCTGATCCGCCGGCTGACGGGGGAGTTTTAGCCGTATAGACCCCCCTTCCCCCTACCTCACCCCCCTCCGTTTTAGAGAAGAGTTTAATGGAGGGGGGGGGGGAGGGGGATAGTTGGGAGCCCAGGAGGGGGCTCGGGCCGAACGGAGGGGGCTTAACTGGCGAACCCCTTTAATTCGCTGTGCCGTTCACCCTCCCGGGTGCTATTTTCGGCTACGGTAGTCATCACTGACAAGCATAGAGCACGGAAAAAAACAACTTTATTCTATAGAAATTTGTCTAATTTTGTGATATTCTAAAAAATATGTTTCTACTTGTATTATACTTATATCTAATCATTCCATAGGATGCTTTTATTCAATTCGTTGTGCCCCTATAATGCGCTCTACACACACGTCCGAGAGGAAAGGGCCGCTTTTCCTGTCGTTTCCAGAATAGACTCGCTCTGAAGACTCCTCCCCTCCCCCTTCTCTCTCTCCAGCTGTCACGCTCGTGTATTTGTCACAATGTGCGGCGCGGCAAGGTGGCCGCGCCACGCCACGCCACGCTGCGGGGACGCCGCGCTCACAGATTTAGAGACAGTTCGTCAGCCAGCGAGCGCTTGACCCCGCGCTGAGCAGAGCAGCCGCTTCCTGTTTCGGGAGCCGCTACGTACTGGATTACATTGGGGCCTACATGGGGACTACACAGGCTACAGTACATAGGGACTAGCAGCTCTGGGCGTGCAGGGGGGAGGGGATCTGGGACACGGCTGCCACCCGCCATGCTGCGCTCCCATGCCTTTCCTCCTAGTCCAACGGGACGGGCCTAAGCTGCTTACACCACGATGCGTGAAACACAAGCCAATTAATCTTTGATTGAGGGAAGTATTGAAAAGGCATTAATGTACCGTTGTCGTCCTGGGCGGCTTGGAGGAGGATTGTTGGACACTCGCTGGACAACACGGCGGACGTGTGGGCGTATCAGGCTTCTGGAGAACATGCTGGAGGCTGTCTGCTTTGTTCGTACTGGACTCGGTAATTGTGATGACTGCATAAACCCGTGTAACTCTTCACAGCGCATACAAGTGTAACGGATTTGTTGGATAATAAACCATGTTGAGAAGTCGTGTGGTTATGTGAGTGGTGTACATTCCGACCCGGCGGCCCCGCCCCAGCGCCATGTGTCACCACGCCCGCCCCACAGGGCCCCGTGCAGAGCCGCGCCAGAGCCCCGGCTCCAAACGACTTTGGGCGGCCCTCAATTCTAACGCTATCATTACCGATTAGAGGTAAATCCCAGCATGCAGTGGATGGTGAACGGTCCCGGGGACGTGTCCGGGCGATAGCGCCATCAGGAAAGCAATAATTCCTTGTTTTTTTCTGAGGGGGTGGGGGACAGAAGACCCCTGACGTCACACACACACACACTCGGCAGTATTTCCTCTCTCGCTCTGAACAGATAAGCTGGAGACGATGTAGGGGAGGACGGAGCCGTGCGCGTGTTATCGATACATGAGGCGCTGACCGGCTTCACTCTGCAGTCGGTATAGTAACACTAACACTGACTTTAGGGCGTGTGAAAGTTATTTGTGGACGACTGCATTGTCATCTGTAAGCGACGAGAGTCGTGGAAAGAAGGCGCGGCCCTAGCGGAGGCTCTTGGCAAAGAGTTTAACAACGTCCCGGCCCTGCAGTGGTGGAGGCCTGTCCCGAGGCCCGTGGGGGGTAGGGAGGAGGAGGACGACGACTACTCCTCTGCGGTTCTCACTGCAGGCCTCGTTGGTCGAGGAGGGAGGAGAGGGCCGAAAGCCGAGGCCCCCCGGCCCGACCCGCCCGCCTGTAGGCCGAGGCCGAAAGCGTAACAGGCTGTTAGTTTTCATTTGAGTGGATTTTGACCGCGGGCGTGGCGGGGCGTGGCGGGGCGGGGATGGGGTTGGGTCCAGCCCGGCAGTGCGACTCGGCACATCCTGGCACTTGTCGTGCCGGCCCGGCTAAAGGCTTGGGCTGGAGCTCCGCCCCGCCCCGGCCCGCCCCGGCCCGCCCCACCGCGCCCCACCGCGCCCCACCACGTCGCGCCCCGTCCCCCGTCTACCCGGAAGACAGGAATTAGCTCGAGTGCCTGTGGACTGATTGGAGCTGGGAGGGACAGGTCGTTCCCCCCGCGAGGAGGGGGCAGGCCGCGGCGGGCCGTTGGGTCCCCGTCGGGGGTCCCCGTCGAGTGGGGAGGGGCACCCGTCACGTCCCCCGGGGACTCTTGCACCTGCTGGACCCGCCATTCCCATCGTATTCATGCGACATTCGATTGTTTTGCCGTTCGGTGTCCTCCGGGGCTCAACTACTCTGGTGTGGAGCTTCTATCTGTTTGTCCCCGAGACAATCTACTCTCTGTCTCAGCCAAAGCACGATGAACAAGCTCCTTCCCCGGCTCGGCTTGGCTCGGTCGGAAGGGCCGGTTGAACAACCCCGCCGCCGTGATCCGAGGGAAGCGACAATCCCCCGCCTTCTTGCGAGACGCGCGGCGCGGGCGCCGCGCACTGCCCGCCAAGCCGAGTAGGCGGACCTGACAAAGAAGGAGGAGCGGCGCGCGAGCGACGCGCGGCCGGATGAGAAAAGAGACGGAAAAACGGAAGAGGAAGGGAGGAGGATGGGCGAGAAAAAACGAAAGGGGAGGAAGGCGGGGGCGAGCCAGGCACTTTGGTCCCTGGCGCTGCCGCTCATAGCTCCTTGTATCGCTTCCGCAGTGATCCGCCGCCGCCGCGCTTTATGCCCGCCCGGCCGGCCAGTAGACACTCCGAGCGACCCGAGGTGGCCATCGACGCCATGGACTCAGAAAACAAAGACAATAAATATTTCTCCCGTCGCGAGAATTTTCTTGGCGAGCCCCCTGGCCCCGGCCGGCCGGTTGCGGTGCCGTGATACTACACTTTTCCGCGACTCCTCGGGATCCAATCTGCCCCGGCCAGACCGACCAGGCGCGCCAGCAGTGTTCGGCGGGGCGGGAGGAGGAGGAGGAGGAGAAGGCCCCCGCGCCGTTCTGTTGGGACGACTCGTCGCGCGTCGCCGACTGGAAGAGATAGCGCCCCGTTTGAGGGCCGGCCGTACGGCGGGGCCAGGGGTGAGTCCTCGGGGGCAGCAGGGGGTGTTCGGTGACGCCGCGCCGCTACAGAAGAGAGGATGGTGACGACGAGGAGGAGCTGTGGCGGGGCGGGGCGGGGCGGGGCTGCCCGTTGACGTTGGCACTGTGCGCGTGACTGCACTCGGTCTTCAGGTGCAGGCGCCTGCCGCAGGTGCCGGGGCCTCCCAGCGCACCCAATGTTTGTGTTCCGCAACTTTATTCAGTCATTTTCATAAACTTAAAACATTGTGTCGAACCCATTGTTTCTTCCTTCGTCGTCCCGCTGGCGGGCTGTGCTTTGCGGCTAGGCCCGTCGTTTGTTGTTTGTTTCATTTTATTTTCCGAAGGAATCCGCTGGACTCTGTGTTGTGCGGGGGGTGGGGGCTGTGCCGGTGTACACGAGGGCCTAGCGGCGGGGCGAGAGGCGCCAAGCCGGGCAGATCCCCAACCACTACAGTGTGGACATGGGCGTGTTGAACGCAATAAACGTCTAGTCTGGTCCGAGTGGCGTGGTACGGCGGGG